AATGTCCGACGATGTCTCTTCGCAGATGGTTCAGAATCAGTGCCATAGATGTCAGGCCATTTATCCATAGACGTTTCACAGGATGAAATTTTTATAGCAATCAAAAAATATAAAAAGAAACATACTAACAAGATACGAAATATCTATTTTATTTTATTTACTTATAGTTTATTTCAGTGTTCTACAGATATATAAATGTACATGAAAAAAACATGGTATAAAGGGAGGATTCTACAGAATAATAAGGACAAATTTATTCAATTTATTCAATTGTAATAATTCCCAATTCACAAGGATAAAAGAGAAATATCATAGAAGTCTGGAAATAAAAGATATAGTCTTACAATCTTGTAATGGAATGATGAGCTTTATTAATGACAAAATAGTTTAAAATTAATTTATTCTAATAAAAATAACAGTGCGTTCCTTTCAAAGTATAAAAAATGAGAGAACATTTACTAGAAATAGTAAACACATTTACATAAATTTTGTGCTGAAACAAAAAAAACATATATATAATATTTACATACAAAATGCTTTTTTTAGTGACTCTTACGTAATTTAATAATTTTCCGAACATATTCACAGCTACATAAACTTGTTTCCTTTACATAACATACAAATGTATGTAGATACTACCTCACTACTGAAAATATATGGCAACTCAGGACTCTAAACGTTACAAAAAAATAAGAAAGAGAAACTGACAAGAAAATAATTCATAATCACCATTTATGCTGAGGTGGTTAAAGGAGAAACACAGATCTGAGAGTTGTAAAATTTCTTGTGATATATAAAAACAAGATATTCCTTTGACTAGATTACTGGTATGTATTTTATTTTTCCCCAAATAATCCTACCCCTATCCTCCCATCACATCCACCCCCACCCCATATCGCACTGATATTGTACATTGTTTATTGTGCAATGGCACTTAGTACCGTAGACATTTGTACACTCAGGAGCCGTATCTGAAATTACCTGCTTACAATCAATATTATAATGTTATGAAAATTTTAACAAGCATTTCTTGCACATTAAATGTTCCCCCAAATCATTAAACAATGTCTGTATTTCACACTGAATTGAAATTAAATTTCAAATGCACTGCGGTACTTCTACCACACCTAACAACCCAACAAAATAACAAAAGCTATTAGTCACTAAGGATAAGGTACGTTATTCTTGGTCAAAGAACCAAATGACCAATTAACGAAGGGTTAAATACTGAATTTATCTTATAAAATGCCAGATAATTTCAGCCCAGGCATAAAGTAAAGTGAGATATATGAGTATTAAAAGAACCCCCCCCCCCTTCCCCGGTTGAATACCACTGGTCTATTCCAAACTGTTAGTATTACCCTTGACAATTTGTGCTTACAAATCCATTGTCTTCAATCGATAAATTAACCAGAGAATGAAAACATTTCAACTAATTTCAGATACAGCCACTGATTTTTGCAATAATCCCTTAAAAAGAAAAGAAAGCAGAACACGATGTAGAAACATCTGATACACTGTCAGGTAAATGACTTGGCAAGTGCATATTAATATACACGAGTGCTTGCAATACAATCAATAAACACTGAAAGAATTTTATAAAGTCAGCTGCTGATACAACATAAGAAGATTTCTTAATATCCAACTTAAAGTTGGTATTAATCTTCTCAATTAAACGGCAAGCATTTTTGGGAAGATTTCTTGGTTTTTCTTCATTTTTTTGACACTTGGTAGAACACTAGAAAATGTTTTGTGGCCTCACATTACCAACTCCCCCG